ACATCCACTCCAGTGTCCGACAACACCCACGCCCTCAACAACAGCCACAAGACTGACGACGTGGTCGACGACTGGGAGACCAATGCGGACGAAGACGATGACGACGAAGACGCCGATGACGACGGTACCCACTCTTCACTCACTTCTCTCCACTCCTAATGACTTTCATTCACTTTATGTTCAATTCAATGAACACTTCAGTCGATAATGATTTGCATTTTTAGTGAAATAATTGCAAACTATTTAATGAGATATTAAATGATTTGCAAAATATTAGTGACGTTTTGACCTCTAATTGAAGTCTTCATGAATTAACTCTTGTTTTCATTGAATGTGTGTTTGATGTGTGGATGCAATTGAATGTAATTTAATCGTTGATTCAATTATTGTGACCAAAATGTTACATTTGAAGAGCGATTTGATAAGATTTTGGAAGTGTTTGTACCATTGAATTGACATTTGAATGAAGGCTTTAACACTATAACCATTAACTCGATGTCTAATAAATGAATGAAAATGTATTTCAGATGAAGAGGCGGACGACACGATCGAAGGCGAGACGGAGGAGTCGAGTGAGAAGATAAAGCATCAAAAGGGACGCAAACCTAAGCGAAAAGCGCACAAAGCGTTGTCCACTGACGACAGTCTGAAGAAGGATCACCNAGATGAAGAGGCGGACGACACGATCGAAGGCGAGACGGAGGAGTCGAGTGAGAAGATAAAGCATCAAAAGGGACGCAAACCTAAGCGAAAAGCGCACAAAGCGTTGTCCACTGACGACAGTCTGAAGAAGGATCACCTGAATATGGTGTTCATCGGTCACGTGGACGCCGGCAAGTCGACGATTGGGGGACAACTGCTTTACTTGACGGGAATGGTAGACAAGCGGACGCTCGAGAAATACGAGAGAGAGGCCAAAGAGAAGAACAGGGAGTCGTGGTATCTGTCGTGGGCTCTCGACACCAATCAGGAGGAACGGGACAAAGGGAAGACCGTCGAAGTGGGCAGAGCTTACTTCGAGACCAAAAACAAACACTTCACTCTATTAGACGCACCCGGTATGCCGTATGCCAGTTGCATGACTGTCCCTTACAATGACTCATGTGTGCCATGTCTTGCAGGCCATCGAGGATTCGTCCCCAATATGATAGGAGGCGCCTGTCAGGCAGATCTATCCGTTCTGGTCATATCCGCCCGTAAAGGAGAGTTTGAGACCGGTTTCGAAAGGGGTGGTCAGACCCGAGAGCACGCTATGCTCGCCAAAACGGCCGGTGCGATCACTTTGATTGATATGAACACATAAGTAGACAACTGACTCATCCATAATCTATATTTCCATGTTCTTAGGCGTTAAACATATGGTAGTCCTGATCAATAAGATGGACGACCCGACCGTAGAATGGAGTGAATCCCGTTATACCGAGTGCTGCGACAAACTTCTTCCATATCTGAAAAAGTGTGGATTCAATCCCAAGAACGAGATCTATTTCATGCCGTGTTCTGGTCTGACCGGAGCTTTCCTTAAAGAACCCATCGATGAGTCCGTCTGTTCGTGGTTTNGCCACGCCTTCGATAACATTACTGTATTTCGTGAGACTCGACAAGACTTGAGGTATGAAATTATCGTGCATTCGCTGCACGTCTTCAGTTGTGGGCTCTTTGCCATTGGCTTCAATCCAACGCTTCCTCACCGCCTCTTTGTCTAAGATTTGTGCGATATTTGCCATTCGATTGGAACCGCTTATACTCCGGGCCTCGTCTTGAGACAAAGTATTTACAAATTGGTCTTAAAGTATGTCTGTGTGTGCGGTGAGTGTCGGTGCCATACCTTCATTGATGACAACGCCTTCGTTGTGGAAGAGCTCAACGAATGTATAGATCGGCGCACAAACTCCTGAGTCCACTACAGTTCCGCCCCAATCAAAGACAATCCCTTTCACTCTGCCCTTATAGAAGCGTTTGGAACCGAACTCCACGTTAGGGTTCGTGAAGACATTGCCTGCCATTCAATGAACACATCGTTAACTCAATGCAAATGCAGACAATGAGACCAACCATTGATGAGTCGGCACTCTATGGAAGCGCTCGACGATGAGGTCGTGTCTAAGGAGAGCGCGTCTTCGTATAAACTCTTCACATACCACCTCCTGATCACGTGATGACTGAAACCATTGCTTGTGATTCGGGACAATAGGTGCCGAAGACTTGCCATTAATTAGTGTCACAATTGTCGCACTGTTTGTATGAAAAGCCGAGAGTTAGTGAGCAATGAGTGGATGTAAACAGCAATGCATTCAATGTTTACTGTTATGGCCTTTAAATGCCAAACATTACACTGAACTGTATTTGTGTTCTCATTGTACGCCTGAAACGTATGCATCAATAGAACAGATGGCAGTGAATGAGTGGACGTATTGTGGAGTTGTTGTGGTGTTGTGTTTGCGTACATAACATACACTTACGTTAGACTCAGACTGCAGTTAAATGTCTAATAATTATGTAATAATAATGGGTTTGTATTGAAAACACGTCCTTCAGTGACAATACAGTGATTTGATTGCAATTGTAGTTACGGTTAACTATAGCTTCACTTAATTTGCATTCACTGTCAATGCGATTGTGATTACAACACATCGACACCAGAGTAAGCAAACCATTGATATGTTGTGGCCATGGATTCACTTGAATTGCATTCATTTGTCTGAATAGATGTCATCCGAGAGACTGTTAACCAAATTAAACAAATGTCTTGAGAGTGAAGACTATTACGAATCGCACCAAATATATAGGACTTTATATTTCCGACTCTTGAGAGACAAAAGACATTTACAATTATCTCAACTGCTCTTCGAAGGAGCCATTCGTTTGTTGACATTAAGACAACACAACTCTGGCGCCGATTTGGCCACTCTTTACATACAACTACTCATTGAAACCAATAATAAGACACTGAGTGGTGAAGTGATTGTCCCCTGCGATCAGCTGTTGATGAATATCCGAAGACTTTTTGAGTTGATTCCTGCGAAGACTCCCGAGAGAGTGACATTCATCTCAAATGCAGTCAAATTAGATGTCATACCCTCGGCGGCCATTCGCCGCCAGTTCGCTGTTGTCTTATGGCGTGAGAAGAACTTCTTGGAGTCGAGACAGCATTTCGTGCACTCGTCCGACTCGGGGGTCGACTGCGCCTTAATGCTAGTCGAGTATCAGACAACTCTTGGTTTCCCGTCAGAAGTGGATCTATTCATCGGACAGTTTGTTCTTCAAGTGCTTTGTGTCCGCAACAAATCGATGGCCGACCAGACCTTTCACGCATACACTTCCAGACATCCATCCATTAATAGCCCAAATCCTCCATTTTTGTGGCCATTACTGAACTTTTTGTCATTTCTTTTGCTGGCAATCGATGGGTATGTCTTAGTCTTAAGTCTCAAGTCTCAAGTAATCAATTGTGAACTAATGGTGTGAATGTATTTTGGTGTCAATAGTGGTAAAATGCAAACCTTTAAGCTGTTGATGGATTTGTATGGAACGACACTTCGACGCGACCCCTCCTATAACGACTACTTGTCCCAAATCGGACACATCTACTTCGGCATAGAGAAGGCCTCCAGAGGTGGTGGTCCGCAGGGATTCTTCGGGAATCTCATCCAATCGCTGTTTGATGACAGCGAAGACGAGCAGTCGGGCGGCACAGGGAGTGCGGGTCCGAGTCGTCCGGCCGTTAGCTCAAGGAGTCAACAAAAGGCCGAAGAAGTAGAACTCGACTGAAGAGTATATCGTTTTTTAATAATTATATATAAAATGAAAGCTTTTATTACAATTGAAGTGTAAAAGCGCTCATTTGATACAACAATTGATTGTTTGCATAAAAGCTTTTCGTAGGAATATCTCCGAGAATTACAATTAATTTTAATTTCTTTCTCAATAAAAACGAAGACTTTATAAACAAATACACGAATCAGTTATCAGTTCTTTATTTATTAAAATGTTTAACACTTTCTGCTCTTTTTGCTGTTCATCTCATTGGGGGCGAAGTCTTGAGCCGAGAAGCCATTGTCCGGTCTCTTCGATAGTCATTCGACAACTCTGAGCACTTTTCCGATAGCAATAGTCTTTCCCTCATCCCTGAGCGTAAACCTTCCCATTTGTTGGAACTGAGAAAACGGTTCCATACATATGAGACCTCCCGAGCACTCCAAGCGCATCAGTGCCACCTGATCCTGCTTTACAAACCTCGGGTGCGCCTATAAAACAGACGTATCACACATTACTACCACTACTACTATTACATCCATTGCATACAAACCTTCGCTCTCTTTCCGGTTTTCTTATCTATTAAATCGATGATTGCTTTGACACTAATTTCTTCGACGGCACAGTGTATATGAAGTACAGCTGAATAACCCGGACATATGATGGACTTGTGCTCCAGGATAGCCACCTGTGCGTCGAACACTCGGCCCACACTACAGGGCGCCAACGCATCGCATAACACAAAGCCTGCCGTCACTTCTTCCTCCTCAACGCCTTTCAGTTTGATTTTGACGTTCTCTCCGGAGTTCACTTGACTCACCTCTTCCTCGTCGGTCCACAGCTGCAGGACTTCCACTTGCTTTCTATTAGGCATTAGCATCAGTTGAGTGCCCCTTCGAGTGGACCCACTCTCCACTTTGCCGAAGATAACAGTTCCCATGTCTTTGTATTTGTCGACAACAGGCAGTCGGAAGGGGCCGTCCACGCGACGCGACCACACGGGCAGAGCATCGATGTAATCGAGGAATGACGGGCCTCTGCAACGATCAATGCATTCGTTAGTATAAAATAATGTTAAGTTGCAGTCGATTGCGGACCTAAACCACGAACAGACGGACTCATCGATGGGTTCTTTAAGGAAAGCTCCGGTCAGACCAGAACACGGCATGAAATAGATCTCGTTCTTGGGATTGAATCCACACTTTTTCAGATATGGAAGAAGTTTGTCGCAGCACTCGGTATAACGGGATTCACTCCATTCTACGGTCGGGTCGTCCATCTTATTGATCAGGACTACCATATGTTTAACGCCTAAGAACATGGAAATATAGATTATGGATGAGTCAGTTGTCTACTTATGTGCTCATATCAATCAAAGTGATCGCACCGGCCGTTTTGGCGAGCATAGCGTGCTCTCGGGTCTGACCGCCCCTTTCGAAACCGGTCTCAAACTCTCCTTTACGGGCGGATATGACCAGAACGGATAGATCTGCCTGACAGGCGCCTCCTATCATATTGGGGACGAATCCTCGATGGCCTGCAAGACATGGCACACATGAGTCATTGTAAGGGACAGTCATGCGACTGGCATACGGCATACCGGGTGCGTCTAATAGAGTGAAGTGTTTGTTTTTGGTCTCGAAGTAAGCTCTGCCCACTTCGACGGTCTTCCCTTTGTCCCGTTCCTCCTGATTGGTGTCGAGAGCCCAC